TTTTTACTCGAATCTTCACACTTTGATATTTTACTAAAACTTGATGCATCAATGTATTTCAAAGTTAATTGTATTAAACAAATACACATATCTATATCTTTGTTTACATTATAATAAAAATAACGTCAATTTTATAAAAGAAAATTAATGTAATATCCACCGCGCTTTTTAATTACTTCTTTGGACTTTGTCTATTATTCCTGATTCTGTTTCGTTGCATGCATATCTTAGAATGTTCTGCATATTTATAAAACTGAATACTAAACATAAAACAAAAACCTGAAAAGTGAACGAGAAAAAATTATAATTTACACTAGATCAGCAGGTGTTCCAACACTTTTGGAGGAGGTTGTGTAGTAAATTCTCCCCAATTTTCCTTCAGCTTGTAAATAAAAATGAACAATATGGGAAGATGAGATACGATTACGAAATTACGTGCAATTATTAATTCTCGTGCACATAACAACGTAACAGAAACTTATCAACGCCCATTCTTGCGGTGGAAATTGATTCTTCGGTTCTAAATTTCTTGTAAACAATTTGTTCAGTTCACTAAGTAAACATGCAAGCGTGTACCATCGATGGTACACGTGGCACGGAACGTGTTAATATATCGGAAATAATATAATAGTATAGTAAATTCTCCCGGATTTTCCTTCACCCTGTAAACAAAAATGGACAATTTGGGAAGAGGAGATACGATCATTCGAGCCCTGCGGCTTGTTTTTATAATTGTTGACGATCGGCAATTATAAAACTTAATTGTCCATTTATGTTTACAAGCTGAAAGAAAGTCTGGGAGAATTTACTATATTTTAAAAATCTTCGACTGTTTTCATTGCGCTCGTTTTTCTCGCACATAAATGTATGAAATCCGCTGTTTACTGATGAACTATTTTCCGATCAAAGGAACCAATAATGAGCAATTGATTCGTGTCGTAGGCCCCTGGGTCAAGGTGCCTTCGGCGAAGTATTCCAAGGTATTTACAAATACAGTCGCGAAGAACACCCAGTCGCCGTGAAGACTATACCTCCTTCGTCCACACCCCAAACCGAAGCCGACTTCATGATGGAGGCATTGATAATGAGCAAATTTAACCATCCTAACGTCGTTCATTTCATCGGCGTTTCCTTCGACAAGAATCCGAAATACATTGTCCTGGAACTGCTCGCTGGTGGTGACCTGAAGAATTTCCTTCGGGAAGAAAGACCACGCGCGGTAAGAGCACGACTCTCTTTCAACCCTTTACACACGAAGCCACTTTAGCTCTAAATCAAAAATAGTTTTTCTAATCTACAGTATTTTCATTTGATATGACTCAGTTAGCGCATTTTATTCATACAAGATTTGCGACTGGTACAACGCTTAATCTTTTAACAGTACCTATTTTAAATATGAACAAGTTTGATAACGTAAAAATTATTTTCGACCGCGATGCAATAATTTTTAGTGGTGTCTCAAAAAGATCCATTCGAGACTACAGTTTACCGTTCGACTCGGCTCTGACATTCAACATTTTTCTTGTCTTTGAACAATCTTCTAGAAAATTGTATCACCTTTGAATAGTTTTTTTTTTAAATTGTATCGCCTCTGAACAATTGTCAATATAATGACATTTTAACCAAATTGTTATGTTCCTGAAATCGAGTGACAATGGTAGCGATCATTGCGATTTAATCGAATTCTAATTGATAGTTACTTTCGTACGTGATTCTAATTGACTAGCCACACACACAAGCGGAAATTATATCGTATGCGATATGCTAGTCATTGTCAGTTATTATGATTGTTAAATACCGTTTCATGTGACGTCACTCGCACCCACCCTAATAACACCTAGGCACTGTGAAGGATTCGGGCAACAAACATGGAATCTCGGATCTCTGATAATCTTATCTAAAAAGAGTAATTAGTTTCTCGGGCTAAGACTTTCATAATAATAATTTCATAATAATAATTTCAAAATACGTTCAAATACATTTAATAATAGAATAGAAAATCTGTTTTGAACTTTTATCAAATATGTTTTACTTATCCCAAAACTTATCTTTCTGTACGTGAGTAATAATAATAGTAATATTAGTAATAATAATTTCATAATAATAATTTCAAAATACGTTCAAATACATTTAATAATAGAATAGAAAATCTGTTTTGAACTTTTATCAAATATGTTTTACTTATCCCAAAACTTATCTTTCTGTACGTGAGTAATAATAATAGTAATATTAGTAATAATAATTTCATAATAATAATTTCAAAATACGTTCAAATACATTTAATAATAGAATAGAAAATCTGTTTTGAACTTTTATCAAATATGTTTTACTTATCCCAAAACTTATCTTTCTGTACGTGAGTAATAATAATAGTAATATTAGTAATAATAATTTCATAATAATAATTTCAAAATACGTTCAAATACATTTAATAATAGAATAGAAAATCTGTTTTGAACTTTTATCAAATATGTTTTACTTATCCCAAAACTTATCTTTCTGTACGTGAGTAATAATAATAGTAATATTAGTAATAATAATTTCATAATAATAATTTCAAAATACGTTCAAATACATTTAATAATAGAATAGAAAATCTGTTTTGAACTTTTATCAAATATGTTTTACTTATCCCAAAACTTATCTTTCTGTACGTGAGTAATAATAATAGTAATATTAGTAATAATAATTTCATAATAATAATTTCAAAATACGTTCAAATACATTTAATAATAGAATAGAAAATCTGTTTTGAACTTTTATCAAATATGTTTCACTTATCCCAAAACTTATCTTTCTGTACGTGATCTGTAATGCAATTAGGCAGAAGAAAGTTATTCAATATATTAGTGCAGTAAATGCGCCAATATAATTTTTGTAGCATTCGTGTCATGACAGTCGTGTGTTGTAAGAGATTAATCTCTCTCTCTCTCTCTCTCTCTCTCTCTCTCTCTCTCTCTCTCTCTTTCGGCAGCTTCGAAATAAAATGATTAAAACTTGAAACAATCGTAAAAAATCGCGACGTGCAGAAAGACTCTACCTAACTAGGAAACAGATTACCATTCGAAGGATTGCCAGGCAATCCTTTAGTCACTGTACTCGTCAAAATGCTCTATAATTTCTATGTAGAAATAGAGGACGGAGCTGCGTTAGAGTCCTGGAACAGAAAGAAAAGCACAGAGATATTAAAATAATACGTACAACATCGTTCGTGAAATTATTCATTTCTACAAACTATTCCATGTAATTTGCATGTTGATGAAGATTGTACTTACATTGTCTCAGCCATCCACATAGTCCCTAGATTTGTAACAGTACAAGAAATTCGATTAAATTCAATCACTATTATAAATGTGAAAACAGATTATGTGTTATAGGGTATAGATGCTTTGTGTGCTGATAAAGATAACACTTACATCGGCGTCTCCTCGACGAAGCCCGGCCGCGTTGCTTCTCGATCTCTCTTCAATCGCAAAACAATATAAAAATAGATTAGGATGAATAAAGAAAGGACTACGACGTAGCACGTAGCGATCTTTGTTTGAATTCGAAGCGCACGATTAAATTCACCGAAATATACGCGACAGATTTTCAAACAAAATTAATCTTAGCCGATACAACGAATCTGCGATGAAAATCGCGACGACATCTGCGACGCATTTGCAACGATGTTTCGACAGGACGACTCGTAATGAAATTCTGCCCTTCGAGATACCGTATGATATTCTCGAAATCCTCGTGACCTGTTATAGCTACGCCGAGTTAGTTAGGATTAGGCGGGCGATCTCGAGTCGACGCGAAGAATACAACAATAATTTTTCCTTGAGGCAGATAGAAATCTGCTGCTCGTTACGACTCATGGGCGTAATCTCAAACGCGACAACGAGTTTCATAGATTTCAAGGAAAATTCTTGTATGTAACTGTCAGCCGAAAGCCCCACCCGAATACGGTATCGAAGTACACGTTTAAATTCTCTGAAATGTATGGATCTCCTATGTGATTTATTGCTACATCGATGCTAAGGTTCGACGGAGTCCATCAATCGTGTAATACGCCACGCGACGCAGCTTCTTTGACTCGAATTCCCGAAAGACAACACGAAATGGTCTTCTTTTTTAGTGTAAATCGTATAAGTAAAACCGCGAAGCTACAAGGTACGTGACCAATGGCAACGGCCGTTGATGTTCTCCGTCGAATCGAAGCATGTGGCCTCCGAATTGCCCGACTATTTTCACTTTAAGTTTCTTTAATTTCGTTTAACTATGCATTTTTCTGAATTATAATTTAAACAGGGACAACTGTTAATTTTTGGCGGTCGTCAACAATGGGGTGCATGCGTATATTCCTGTTTTGGCAGGATCGGCCTACGTCGTTGGCGATGATGGATCTCATAATGTGTGGCTACGATGTTGCGAGTGGCTGCAAGTATATGGAAGAGGCCCGGTTTATCCACCGGGATATTGCAGCCAGAAATTGTCTACTTACTTGCAAGGAAGCCGGACGGGTTGTGAAAATCGCGGACTTTGGCATGGCGAAGGATATTTACAGGAGCGATTATTATCGAAAAGGAGGCAAGACTATGTTGCCTATAAGGTGGATGCCGCCGGAGAGTTTCTTGGATGGAATATTTACAACGAAAACTGACGTTTGGTAAGCTTTTGCCGATTATTCAGTCGAACATACTGATTTAGCTCATGGTGGCGTCGCAGTTATTTAGATATAATGATATCCGTTATAATTAGACTGCGGTTCTTTGTGCGAAATAAAAATTGTCTAGGTCAATCACCAGAAACAGACATTAAACATAGTTGATTATAGGGTAAGAATATTTCTAAATTCTCCCAATATACAGAGAGTTCCAAAAATGTGTCGCAATCCGGAAATAAGGAATTCGTGCGGTCATTTGAAGTAACTTTTTCCTTTACAAAAATTTTCTCCGAGACATCGTTAACGAGTTATTAACGAAAAACAGTGGCCAATGGGAGGCGAGCTTGGCTGCCGCGTGGCGGCCGACCAATCTCAGTCCCGTTCATTGGCTCGGCCGCCTTACGCCAGCTGATCTCGCCTCTCATTGGTCACTGTTTTTCGTTAATAACTCGTAAACGAAGCCGCGGATCGCATTTTCGCTAAGGAATAAGTTATTTCAAATGACTTCAGGAACCCCCCATTTCCGGATTACAAGACATTTTTGGGAAATCCCGTATTCACAGCCCTACATATCGTCAATTCTTTTTTCTCACAAACGCATAAATTCCACAGTCTAGATATGACCATATACATAGATATATATATATACCTTATTTACTATTGCACAGTGAAAATACTTCTCAAAAATAAGTTACACAAGTGCAAAGGGTAAGATTGGAAAATGAAGAAATTAAGATCAAGAAAGAGTAAAATTGGAAAATGATCGAACTACAAATTTTTATACTTTCCATTGTCAGTGAAGCACAAATGCGTGGTCTGGAGATCGCTGAATTAATTTAATTACATTTATTAATTTAATTTACTTATATTTTACTATATTTATTTATAATCGCCGAATTCTTGGGTAAAAGAAAATTGACTAATCTTACAAGAATATTTTAATACAATGCACGATCTATCTAACAATGACGATGTAACTATGTAAATGAAATTTCCAAAAGGATTGCACATTTTCTTTTATTGCTCTTTGCGCTACACAATTTCTGACATTCAATAAAACCTAGTCATTCCTTTATTTTTCACAGGGCATTCGGCGTTTTATTATGGGAGATCATGTCTTTCGGATACATACCTTACACAGGATGTAATAACACAGAAGTCACAACGATGGTAACATTAGGTGGTCGTTTAGAAAAGCCAGCGGGTTGTCCCGATCCTATTTACGGCATAATGACGCGATGTTGGCATCCACGGCCAGAGGACAGGCCTAGTTTTGCAACTATTGTTGAAAGAATCGGTTATTGTTTACAAGTAAAGAATGATATTCCGATTTGTATAATAATATATATAATTCATAATAATAACATATAATATATATAATGAATAATAATAACATATAATATATATAATTAATATAATAATAATATATAATTAATATAATAATAATATATAATTAATATAATAATAATCTGTATAATTAATATAAATAATTAATCCGAGAAAATGATATTTCCGTAGGACCCTGACGTAACAAATCATCCAGTGCCTAAGTTTGACATATTACCAATTTGTCAGCACGAAATAACGATCATGAGACCGGACCCGGAAGCGGAGTGTATCAACGTGCAATCCGAAGTGAGTGCAGAATTTATTATTTACGAAAAATCGCTAGGGATGGGATCAAGTACGATGCAAAATGTGATTTGTAATTCTACGTGATAACTTGCGGATGTTACATAGAACAACAGTAAAAATTAAATCTTTTGTAAATCACATTCCCCTCTGTAGAAATCAAATTAGTCCTTTCGTAGATCATATTTATCTTTCTCCACCAAAAATTATTCATTTTGTAGGTTTTATTCACTCTTTTACAAATCAAATTTGCTTTTTCGCAAATCAAATTAACCCTCTTTACCAGATCAAGATTGTCCGTGTTTCTCTCTCATTCTCAGTTTTTGAATTTAATATCTATCTATTTAGAATCTATGTATTTATTTCCAAAATAATACAAATTTCTTCACTATTACTTAATCTTCAATAATTCTTTATAATGTGTCATCCAATTTTTGAATTTAATATGAATTTTATGACAAATAATAACAAATAAGTGAATTTAACATGCAAAAGAATTGAATAAGATCTGCGAAAGAGTAAATTTTGTTTGCAATAAGGTAAGTACGATCTACGAAATGATTAATTTGAGATGCAAAATGTCGGATATATATTTTATAGAAAAAGAATTGCTTAAATAATGAGAATATTAAGAGAACTTAAATTACTAGGACATATATATACGCAATCTTCAATTTAAGAGCGATTAGTTCCAATGCAACGTGCACTTCTAATATACAAATATGATAATGTTTGATCGAATAAAATGATCGAAAGCAATCTTCGATGTATGAAAAATATTCAACGAAATCATGAATAGAATCGTCGAACATTTTCCGTCGGAGGAAAGCGTTGATTTCACAGAAAAGCTCTGACGCCGTTTCCAAGCTGTGTAAGCGAAATTCTGAATCTACTGCCTCATTTATGTTAGCTAGGATTATTTCAAACCATCTGTTCGAAACGAATGTATTTTTGTCCTTGTGATCACGCGTACAATATCTCGAATCGTACATTCGAAATTACAATTGAATAACTACCCGCGACGTAAAGACGCGCTTGATCCTATCCTAAAAACCTGATCCGTTCCTGATCTAACAATTTAACAGCGATATCTAGCGAATGGCTGAAATCAGTTAATAAGAATATAAACATGTTGCCGACTCGTCGACGCGATATCGACGTTGTTTCTTATCTTTTGCGACGACTGTTGCACTAGTTACTTGATGGAACAACTTCTGTAATTTTCCTAGCTGGATGCGCGTGGCTACATGCAACCTAAAATCATTGATCCACGATCAGCGAGTCAACGCATGGCTCAAACTGCCGCTAGCGACGTATCGTCGGATCTTAGAAATGCAAATTCGAGTATAAGAACGTATCCGCAACCGACGGATCGTCCGCACAGCAGATTTCAAACCAATCTATACGACTCTAGTACAGATACCTCTGAACAAACTTACGGCGGTAATGCGAATCGCGATGGTTTCGATGATGAGAATGACGATACAGAGGTACATTTCACTACTAAACAAGTGATTAAGCTTCTGCGAAATGTTTTCGTTATATGTACTTTCGTTTGCGTCACACATGTAGCGAGTTCCGAAGCAATGGCAACTGCAACAAAACTAGTCATCGTTTCGGCTCATTTACGTTTTATATATGCTTGGACATTGTTTACGGACGATTTTAGCGAACACCGTTTTACTGAGTTCAGAGAGCACCAATTAGCCTGTTGATTTTTAAAGCATTCTTTCAGCACCCTGTACGCACAACATTTTCCCGGCTGAATTTCGTCGGTACATATTCTATCAGTTGAAACGAAAGAAATGTTACTACGGAAAAATGCGTCGTTTGCAATTTCTACCAAAGAATTGCAAATCTCGCTTGAAACGACGAGAAGCTAGAATTGATCGGCGATAAATACTGTTGCTTAATATTGAGCAAAATATTAGCTATGTTTGTTATAACAGTAAACCTACCATGACGGTGAAAACGGTTTGCTGATAGAGAACAGAACGACGAGGTTCCGTCGAGAAATCCTAAAACATCGCGTGTGTAGAACGCACAATTGTATTTGTAGAGCAAAGAGAAGGCTGACAGCTCGAAGGATCCAGAGGAGGAAAGTGAACATCGAATTTCAAAGGACAAAAGAAACGGTAACGAAAGCATAACGACCACCGATACCAATTCCGACTCGTTGATCGTTGCTTCCTCGGACACGCCGCCAGACACAACGAACTCGTCACCGAATACACGTACCTGCTCTCCTAGCCACGCTGGCCTAAATACAACCGCCACCGCTAATGTAAACGGGATGTTAAAGAAAACTTCCTTAAAAGCTGCTCTCAGCTTGGACCCAAGCGCATTGTGCCGTGGCAAGATACCGTATGAGAAAATAGCGTTCTCGCCGCAGATCCAACGATCGAGCACACCTGGAAGCATGGAGATTAAAAAGGTAATTTCTAACGGTACACTCTCGGCTTTTACTTCCGTTTGTTTCATTTTCATCTGTGACGTTCGGCAGTCCCTTACGTAAACTGATTATGACAGAGGGCGATTCTGATGTTTCGATCCAGTTTACTGAAAACTGATGATAACGCCGACACGGATTTTGCGTTCCGATACAGGAGGAGTTCCTGAGGTCATTTGAAGTAACTTTTTCCTTAGCGAAAATGCGATCCGCGGCTTCGTTTACGAGTTATTAACGAAAAACGGTAACCAATGAGAGCCGAGCTCGAGTGGCGCGAGGCGGCCCAGTCAATGGGCGGAACTAGAATTCGACTACTCGTTGGCGCAGCCGCCTAGCGCAAGCCAAACTCGGCTCTCATTGGTTACTGTTTTTCGTTAATAACTCGTAAACGAAGCCGCGGATCGCATTTTCGCTAAGGAAAAAGTTACTTCGAATGATCTTAGGATCCCCACANGCCTCTCGCAACAATCCACGCTTGCAATTATCCGAAAATTCTGCTGCCTTCCACAGGCATTGCTCGAACTGTTTCGGATAAATATTTATCTAAAATAATTATTCGAATTGTTTCGAATAAATATTTATCTCAAATAATTATTCGAATTGTTTCGAATATAAATATTTATCTCAAATAATTATTCGAATGAATTCTTTGTAGTGGAATATTTTATTCGAATCTGTCATTATTCGTGACAGATTATTCTATTCGTTTATTCGAATACATTCTTCATTTTTCGTTCGAATAAATCATTCGAATAGAGATCGCAAAATTATTCGAATAATAATGCCAATAATTGTTTGCTTCCTTCGTTTCTTTTTTACATAATTTTTTAAACGGTATAACTTCTTCAAAACTGAACCTAGAAGACTTGAATTCTTTTTAACTCGCATTTTTTAACTTTTTCTTTATCTTAACGTGACTTATGTAACGTATATCCTCCATTTTCTTTATTTTTTTTTTAATATGACTATGCGAAATTGAGGATTTTACAAAGAACATACCTCCACAATTTCAGCACTTAAAATAATTCAATTTTCACAAGAACATTACATAATACTTTCATCTTCTGAATCTCAATCAATTAATGAAATATTTCATTTTCTTTGTTTGGTTAATAATCGACGTATTTTACCGTATTTATTAATGCATAAATAATAATTAATAATCGCACTGGATATAAATGTATTCATTTGCACTTTTTCTTAGTGTTGCTTTGCACATTACCAAGTTCTACATATAATTTTGTTATTAGTTTAAATGAATGACTTCTTTGATAATGAAAAAACTAATTGCAACGAATTCTAAACGATTTGTAACACCGTAACGATTAGGTTAAACGCATTTTATATCACATCTTTTACGTATTGATGGTCAAAAGTTATTTTAATCGTAAGCACTGTTTAACGTGCTGTACCTATTTTTGATATAGCAATTTTTTTCTAGTTAACTGATTTTATTACAAGATTAATTGGAATGCTTTCATAAACTGCTTTCATAAACTGCTATTATAGTAACCAAAGTTTTATGATAACAACATTTTTGTGCCTCGTCTGTATTGAACAATTCCAAACACGTTCTTTCAAACGTGTTAAACCGTAAGTAAATATCAAAGAAGTCGTAACTGTGCGAGGTTAACGAGGACACGAGATGCAAGCATTAATATATTACATATCTAATCCTACAAACTCTGAATAATAATCTTTTTATGGTATGAATGATTTCAACTTACAACAATAGCAATAAAACATATTTTATATTGGTGTAACAAGACTTATTATTGATAACGAAAGTACATTGCCAATGAATTACTTCTGATATTAAATATCTTACAGTTCAAAACAGTATCCTAGTAGTTAATGTCATTTTTTCAGCCTCATTTATTATACTGTATATGTACCTATTTTATAATTGTAATAGGTAAATTGCGAATCTCTGTTTCGATTTATAGTATTTACATATTTATAAACAGCTACTTTATTTTTACTATAACGAATTTTCTAATTGGTAAATCGAATTTGTCGTTCATTCCAGTTTTTACGAGACGATGAATAAAAATTAGTGTTTCCATAAAAGTCTGCAGTCTAGCAATAAAGAAGTTGATTTTGAAAGCAAAATATTAGCCTTCGGGCGAAGTCGATGATCCGTGTGATAATAATCCCAAACCGTTCGCATGCACAGAAACAATTTGGATCATCTTGCCAAGTTTTGTTACGAATAGTTGTATGTTTCGCGAAGTAGCGGATTGTCAGATTTAATAACAAATATGAATTGGTAAATGATTAACGACAGTACACTCGTCCTCGTTCATCTCGTATGAACTTACAGGATGTTAAACGAAAATATGGAGTCGAAGGAAACGTGCGTTGGAAATTCTTCAACTATTTTGCAAGTTAAGGCTTCGTTTCTGAAATATTAACAGTTATATATGATTATAAATAGAATTTGACGTAAGATCGTATTGGTGTCAATTTCATAAGACAAAAATGTTCAATCTTGAAATTAATATAATTACTAGCTGCCTTATTACGTCTACTGAGAAGAACTTCCAAATACAAAGGGTTAAACTTTCAATTCTTATACTTCAATTTTGAATGCCGGTTGTTTCATAATGATATCCGTAATGTTATTCAAGTTATGATCTCTTTAGAAAAAGGTATGCTTTACAAAGTTAAGGAAGTATCTTGATCTAGACGCGTATTTGTTAGTTAGTTCTGAGAAGTTCTTTTTATACGAAATCAAAAGACTGCAAAGACTGCCAAAGGATGTGTTAATCTAATTCCAGATAAACTGTCCATTGTGTATTCGATTCTTAGTGTATAAAATAATAAAAATATGGAAAATTACATTTTTACTAGAAAATAAGTTAATATAGATACCATACAACGTTCTTATCCTAATAATTTTCCTCCTTTCTGTCCACTAACGTATCCGACGAACAATGTCTCAACTTGCAAAATACTAAAAGACTTTCTGATTGCACGCGCGCCATAAACAGATGTCTTTCCCGAGCCTATATTTTTGGTGCATCTCGTGGAAACAATGAAAACTGTTACACCGCTTATGCTTCTTTTAAAATATTTGACCAAACTTCTGTGTGCTTTTGCATTCGGCCTAGTTGAAACGATCAGAAATCGCAAGGATTTAACATAACCCACGCTCGTGACACTCGATGTCCTTGTGTTTCTTCCAAGAGTCTAGCGACGCTTACCCCTGAATTCGTTTCATCGCAGTTCTATGTATGATGGAACTATCGTCTCTCTGTTCTTCACACGAAGGATCCTATGGTTCGCCAGCTACCAAGAGAAGAGGAATGCTCCTGCTGAGATTTGTACAAAGGGGAGTGACAAGACTCCCCGGCCGGCGGTGTTGCGACGCGTGCGACCATTACCAAATCGCTGCGACGATCCGCCACGATAACGGCAGTATCGATAGCAACACGTGTTGCGGAATCCTCGTCGCACATGTGGATACGAGACGAAGAGTATTCGCGTCGAGTGCATTCCCAAGAAACGCTTTTATAAATGGACACCGTGTCACAACCGCAAAATCAATTAACAACGATTCGTTTGTACGTTCTCCTTTATTTACTCATGCATACGTATTACATATATTTTATATAATATACACGTGTATACAGGGTGTCCGATTCCAACCCTCCCAAAAAGGGACACGCCGCGAATCATGCTCACACACGTTTCTTTGACCTCGCGACGGCATTTCGAAAAGCCTCGCCGCGATCGACTTTCTCGAACGGTTAACCGAGACTTTTTTGATTTGGTATTTTTGTAGCCGGTGAGACGGAAAGTTTTTCGAAACGCTAACTGTTCGTGTCCATTGTATCGGTTTATTATGTCCACGCGAGAGGGAAGACTTTAATTGCGTTTATTAAATGGACGGATGCGCGCCGTGCGCGCACGAACAATAACCATAGGTCGCTTTTTTGTCGCCGGCGGATCTGTCGACGCCGGCGATCTTCGGCGACGACGACGCGTCCACCCGACGACACAAGGAATTGCAATAACCGTCCGTTATTAAATTCAACTAAATCTTTTTTCTCGTCGCGCGTATCAGCACGCGGAACACATTACACGCATGCATAAATACGTAACGTACACACACACACACACACACACACACACACACACACACACACACACACACACACACACACACACACACACACACACACACACACACACACACACACACACACACACACACACACACACACACACACACACACACACACACACACACACACACACACACACACACACACACACACACACACACACACACACACCACACACACACAAACGCGCGTAAACATAAACATACGTAAAATAATACGTACCTCTATGTACATGTCAGAATACTATGGTGTCTGATACAGAATGATAAAAGGACAAGACGAAACGAATAGAATGTTAAGAAACAAATATAGCACAAAGTTCGCAATACGGAACTTCGAATACATTCCATCGCAATTTGACAGAAATTATTAAGAAGAACTATATGTAGATTATATAGCTGTTATATGAGTTTAGCGATGTTCCTCCTGCAGATGGTGTGACAGAGACGTCGTTCTTGTCGTTTGAGGTATGCAGGTCAAATCGTCGGAGTCGCGAGCCGTATTGTATGAAATGTTGTTTTTATGGTTGCAAGCGACGTTGCTCGATGTATGATATGGTCAGGAAGAGGATCCGGTAAAAGAGCCGTCGAAGAGGGAAAAAAGGGAGACAGATAGAGAGAGTAGCGGAGAGTGTGCGCGTGTATGTGTGTGCGAAAGAAAAAGAGAGAGAGAGAGAGAGAGAGAGAGAGAGACAATACGCTATACACAAGACTTAATTTACACCAAAGATGAAAAGAAAAGAAAAATACACGTACGCGGCGTTCTTTCTACACATGCCTATAAACCTTTATATTATACGTATACATATGTATATCTATCAGAGATGTTCTTGGCAAAGGCTTGGCCCGAATCATCTTCATCCTCGATTCATTTACGATTATTATTACCGGACAACGATCATGACAAATCTCAGCGATTTATGTAACTAAAAAAGTACTATAAGGATGAAGATCGATCTCGGCTCGCGTGTCGAACACACGTCATCATTCTCGCCGCGAAAAATTGAAACTGACTACCTGAATGTTGATGCATGAAAGACTAGATTTAAATATAGTATTCTCGCCTACCTCGTTGACTCGTTAGTAGCCATGGAAGAACGATGAATGGTGGACAGTCCGTGTTTAACATCGATCTCGTTGTATACGATTGTCATCGCAAGATTCTAGGAGAACAATGGGCAGACGGAACACGCTTTCAAAGACAAAAAAAAAGAGCATTGGCCCTTTTTTATTTTTCTTACAACAACGACGTACTTGACGTACGCGCAGCGTATGAAAGTCAGCCACCATATATCTGTACGTGAAACGTAATAAAGACATGTTTGTGGAAATATACGTCGTACACGATCATTCCACGCGACATCCTTTTGGAGCATCAACCATAAATACGCATTGCCATTTATAAATATCCTAAATTGCTGGCGGCGATGACGTTATTCTTTTTTAAAAGCTGAACCTGCTGCCGAGCTCTAAACTTGACTAACGTGCGTTGCTTCGTGGAAGTTACAAGACTTGCATTTATTCAGACTTTTCTCTGTTGTGATTGTGACGTATGCTTGAATTCAGAAATTTATTCAATCGTTTCCTGGAGAAGAGTTTGTATAATTTGAACAATTCTGAAATAAAAAGTGTCAAACCGGTTATACCGAATGATAGATTCAATATATTAATTGTTTAATATAAATATTTAATATATTTATATTTAATATAAATAATCCAGATTATTATCTTAAATAACTTTTTTAAAAGATAATTTGGGAAATACGAAAACGAGAGAATGAAATACGAACTGAACCAGGTGAAAAACATCCTAAACTACCTGAGAGATACTAACGTAAGAACAGAGATATAATCATCGACTTAAAGAGCCGATAATTACCAAAAAGTTGAAGCGAATTCTTGTATTAAATACTGAAGAAAAGAAACAGAATATGTAATTTGTGGCAACACACCTAAAATTATTTTTGACGGAAAATTAAATTTCTTTATATTATTATGTGTACAATTTAAATTGTATTTAAAAATAATTAATATTAATCATTAACTATTCAATTATTATAATTAATTTCGTTTAAAAGAATAAAATTTAAATTGTAATATATTTCTGATAGAAATTTTGTGTTATAATAGATTTTTTTCGATAGAAATTTGATTTATAACACGTTTTGAATAGAAATTACAATTATAATAGATTTATTCATATACAAAATTTAGTACACTAAAATGGACATGAACAAAATGTAGGTAAGTTAATCCGTAATATATCTGAATAGAGAACTTGTGGCAATTGCTTTTGCATAAACAGATAAGTATATGAGAAACACCCTCGTTAAGTTGATAACTGTTTATTCCTTTTTTTATGTCACTGTATATTTAAGGTTAGCAAAACATAGTACCTAAAATATATGGAAATTCGAATCAAGGTATTTCTTGCTCTAAAACGAACAGATTCCAATGTGGAAGAGTCCAGGAAGAGGAATTTGGAATACTCCATATTCTTGCAACAAAAAACTAACAAGACCAAACCAAGCAAAGTTTGCTTGGATAACAGCAAACTTCGATCAATCTTCATAAAACTTGGGAAGAAAACAATCATCTTTAATAGATTACGTATTTATATCACGATTCTGGCTCGTTGTTATTAGTGCAGAGGGTTAACACTGATGGAATCCTGGTGGCAAGGTCTCGTCAGAACAACGCCTCCTACAAGCTAGTTAGTGAGAAAGTTAGGATATTAATAGTGCATTTGGTCTAGACTAAAGTCGCCGTGTGCCTGGTAAGAAAAAGGGAACCCTTGAATATCTAGAGGTCCGTCGGATTCTTGCGGTGTGCGCGAACTAACATTGATAGGACTCTAAAATTTGGGTTAGACTTTCGGGACACCAAGATTTATGGTGCTCATGTTCAAAGCGAAGTTATTTGCATCGACTCGATCCGAGCACTTTAGGCTTAAGTTCAGTAGATACTACAGAAAAAAAAACTCGTTGAAACTCTCTTTAATCAATTTAATTCTCGTGATTATGATAAATGCCTGAAATAAGAAACGATAATGTTTCCCATCATTTCATGTTAGAATTTCCAATGTAGAGTTCCAAACTAACAGATTAGGGCTTACTAGTTCGTTTCACCTGATGTGTTTGATAACATTTGCATACTATTCCTACTTTGTGCATTCCTTCGTGCAGCGTTTAGCAATATAATGGAATATTGACCAAATCTTTTACGGATTTATGACATACTTATTTTAATATACTTACGATCAATAAGATTGATACCAAATAACGTTTCCATTTTTACATACGTAATCTCGTGCTTGCAACTGACTTCGTTTAAAAAGAAACTGCAACACCGCGCAGTCAAGAAACTTCAAACTTCGAACTTCTCTGGATGGTACAGCTCTGCCAGCACATTCTTATACAATGGACAATCTAAAAATATAATTTCAATTGTTTTAAACATTCAAATATGAAATACGTAATTATAAAATTGCGACATACGTTCAACGTATTCTCTATTGCCATCTTGTTGGATCCGATAAAAACGTTATTGCCATGAAGCAACTGTTGTCTGAAAAGAAAAATTCGTTCCACAGTTTCATACGGCACAGTCGCACATTATTTATAGAATAATCGTACGTCGATGCAATAGATCGTTGCACGAAGATCACAAAAGATCGTTCTTGCTCAGCGATCGTGCTTACGAATACCAGTGAGACATTCCTTCTCTTCGTCTGCTGGTTGCACTATTCGTTTTCGTGACAACTGTTGGCCGCGAACAAACGCGTGCACCGGCCATCGAAAAATATAGATAAGCAGAAACGATGAAACCTTCCGACAGGCAGAGAAAATGGAGCACCGATGGAACGAGGAAGGGGTACGGACGACAATTCGAGTTTAGTTTGCGGCGTACAGTACGTTTGTGCCGCCCTTTCGAGAATCTTGAGGCTAACAGACGTGTAGTCCGCACGCTCGTGACTATATTTACCAAAGTATCTTTATTAGGGAGATGTCGAAGTACTCCTACTATTACGTGAAAACGATCATTGACGACACCGACAAGCCGAGAACGTACAGGTTTCTGAAAGGGTAAGTGATCGTCTGCGGTCCGCAATCATTTCCAACATTTTTCTCGGCCGCCTGGTAACAGTCTCATCCGTTTGCTGTGACAATTACAATTTAACAAAAGCAACAGGTGCTCGGCGTGTCGCCTTTAAATGATAATTTTACTCGTTAATCGAATCAGTATTATCGCGAATGACTTGAATTCCCTTTAATTGCGGCAGCAATTGGAATCTCGTTAAAACTGATTGCCATAACAGGCACACACCGATGTCCTCGTTATCGCTTTCGCGTTTAACATTCACGCGCGTAACATTCAAGTGCCAATCGATGACCTATTAAGACACCAAAATCCGCGGTCTTTGAACGGTAACTTTTATCGTCGGGCAGATGCCTAAAACACGTTTTCGTACGTCTATTCGTGGACCCGTATGCTAACACAATTTCACTGCTCGTCTCTGGAACACTCTACGCGAAAGAAAAAATCAAAGCAGGAGAACAGAAAAAGAGCCTCGCGCGATCTAAAATAATGTCGAACGGCGTGCATATTTCTCGAAAGAATGCCATTTATTCGTAGGGATCCTACCCTGTTCCAACCTCCGGAGGACACGTGGTCCACACATGGTCGCTACAGTCTTCTTTCGCGGCTGCTCAGAGGAGGACTTTCCGGCTCAGGTGATGTCTACCATCCGGGTAACGCCGTTTTCAAGGTTCGTCTTCATTAGCCGTCTACATTTTTCATCTCTATTATATTCCTCTTCATTGTTCGCTCATTAATAATCGCGACCGTTGCTCGCTAAGATTTCGTGCAGCATACCTGAAAAATCCTCTCCGCGAGAAGTCCTGGCGACCCACCAAAGAATTTCGATATTCCTTCGGAAGCTTTCCCACCGGCGACGGTTTTAACGAGTTTTACGGACCATTTAGTCGGATACGTTCGAGCCGAAGATCTAGCAGCATCGAAACGAACCTCGCAGAGACAGAATGAAAGCGAGCAGCACCGCGATGGTCGGGCAATGCCAGCAGGGGGGGACACATTTTTCCAAGCTCCTCTTTGGAACGCCGCCAAATGCAGCTTTTAACATAAAACGGGCCCCTCGCGCGTTGCCTCTAACGTATAACGGAGCCATATTTTTAGCCAGACTACTGTCAAGGTTATCCCCTAGTTTTTCATGATTGCTGACACGTTTTTATGCTGCTGGCGGTCCCCGGTTATCGTGTTTCTTGATTTCCCAAGTGTGACAGTCATTTTCATTATCGTTCGTATCTTTCTTCGCGAGTAACACGCGGTTCGCGAAGCACCCGTTTCATTGAGGTTGATGTCAGAGAGATGAAACGTTTTGAAACTGTCCTAGTCGGTAGAGCTGTCCGAGAACTCGAAAATGTCGAGTCATGTTGGGTGGAGAATTGGTTTATTGATGATTTTGGGATTTCTCGAACATGCCGAAATTTTCGAATATTCCGGCTCACCGTGAAACATCTACTCGATTAAATAACATTCGTACATTTATTTCTATTTTGATTTATTTATTATAATTTTATTTCAGTCCATCCCTTTACGTTAAAGTTTTGGTGTTTTTACGGATACAGTAATTTCTCCCCAATTCGCGCTCTGATTCGCGCACAGAAATGGACAATTTGGGAAGAGGAGATACCATTATTCGAGCCTCGCGACTCATTTTTATAGTTACCGATTGTCAATAACTATCAAAATGAGACGCAAGACTCGAATAATCATATCTCCTCTTCCCAAATTGTCCATTTTTGTGTGCAATCTGAGCGCGAATTAATAAGGAGAAATTACTGTATTTTGTCGCTGCTGTTATAAAGATATATAAATATAACAAAACTAGTCGTTCTCTGCGTCATTCTCGCTTGTAACAATTTTTATTTCATTTCTGTTTTTTTAACATTATCACTCGTTGGTTTCGGTACTTTTATTTGTACTTATTTATAGATCTCAAAAGTCTCTCAACATTCACGTGTAGAATGCTTCTGAAATCAATCATTTAGAATGTTTGATGAAACGTGAAACAACAAAGAAACATGGCTTTTTGAGCAGAAGGTAGAAAGTTTGTATATTTTCTAGTTCATTGAAAAATACCGACGATGAGCCAAGTTAATATAATTTGATAAGATTTGAGAAAGAAGTTATGGCAACTTCGTGCACAGTAATAACTACAAAATTCCGAAATATAGTTTTCTCCGACATTGGCATTCGTTGTTGGCATTCTAAGGGTGAAGTATGTAAAACGCATTTTTATCGCAATGTTATTTGTAAAAATCTATATTCTGCAATTTCTCATACAAGCAAGCAATGAAATATAAATTACCGTGCAATACCTAGTCATTTTTACTTGACGAACTATTTGGCTAATTTGTACGAGATCCTGAGGTGTCTATAAAATATGTTTACGGAGTGACAAGTACGTCTGATAAATAGCATCGAAATAACCAAGGGGTATTCGACCAATCAAGAATCATGTCAGTGAGACCATCGATCTCGAAACTTGAAAATAAATTTCGTGCTATCAATCCACAACGAAGGCAGTTGCAAAACTCTACATTATTCTCCCCTGCCAAACGCATGTTCCGAGAACATCTGCGCACGTAAACTATTAGACGAGATGTGGCAATAGATCGCGGTTGAAACAAAATGGATCATACGTTTCACTCGATTATACTATTTTTATCTTCGTACTTTATCGCGCCGACAGTTTATTGGCGCGATCTCTATCAAATATTTATCGCGTGTAAAGCCTGGATCTTAATGAAACAAAGACAACAAAAGATGAGACCTATTAATAAGATTTTCAATGATTGAGTTATATGTAAACGGAGCTCAATTTTCTTTTAAATAACAATTTCAAGAGATCTTGTTACATACTATTAGTTCAAATCATTTGTTCGATTATGAATGAAATTATTTTAACAATTTTTTAAAGAAATTTTCAGCTATTGATCTTAGATTTTAAAACGACAAAGTGTTAAAAAATCAATTTCTATTGTTTCCTAATTAATATAATACAATGAGTCCAATATCGATTAATGAATTGACGAAAATTTAAAATCAAACTCTCTAAATTCGACTTATAAAATCTGAAAATCTGTATTTGCCATATAGCTTTGTAAAAACAAATTACGTGCTTCGATCACTTATAGCTGGTTCTTCTTTTGAAAAATACTGAATTCACGATAAGGAAAACCGAAAAACACGCGCACTTTGCCAAGAAGAAAGCGTGAACAGCGGTTCCCGTTACAAATTTAAATATAGTACCGTTATTACGATCTGACTTCCAAGTATCACGCTAACTTTGAATTCTAGAATTTTTCGCGAACCGAAAAATATTCTACCTAATGTATACGTCGTTTCGCAAAGGTTTTCCTTCTGTCGCTTTGCAAGACTGTGAAATAAATTTGCTGACAAGTTTCTGCTATATTTGTGTAAAATGTTCAAACAAATATAATAATAAAATTAGGGATGTTTACAATTCTCACACACAAGGCCCATATGTAGCGTTACGCATCCTGATATGATTAACAGTTAACAATAAATTACTGTGAGGCACTATTTTCGTCCTACACAATCTCATTAAGCTATTTTAATCGGGGCTCGAAAGAGCTATGGGGCTTTTTAATAGGTTCTATTTAAAACATAGGCCGTGAAATCTTTTACAGAACATTCTCGCACTTCAAGTTTCCATAAGAAGTTGAAAGTAGAAGTTTCATTTTATACAGAAATTCTAAATATATTGTTATATATTATGTTCTATATTCTATTCCATATATTATATTCTAAATATATTATTTATTTGTTACATTTACTTACACAGTTTACAGTTCAAATCTCGTTTATGTTTCTCTTATGGCATCTTTTTTTTAAGAAAATTATAAAAATTGTAAAACATCTGTTCCACGATAAACTTTTTTAAACAAACTCCTAAGAGTAATATTTCTTTCAAAATTCCAAAGGAACAAATTAAAAGCAGAAGTATTTTTAAGAAAGGAAGATGACTACTTGTTTTTCAGTGCATGATATTAACACTTCTATATCATATCCAATTAATAAAAATGTTGTTTGTATATCAAAACGTTTTTTCACTAGAATCGAAATGTAACGGACGTCAGCCAGACTACCCCCAATCACATGCATATTCAAGGTACATTTAAATGCCATTTTTTGGAATACAAAATAACATAGCAAGAATAGTTTAAAAAGTGTATCTATATTCCTTCGCGCATAATATGAATACATACATAAATGACTTACGAATGGACTGCTGAGTTTATACATTTATAACGGGTACGAATACACAAAGCAACATAAAGTGGCCTTAATAATTGTACAACAATAAGCCTCACACTTACCTTCTCAGAAACCACAATGAATGAATGAAAACAGCAAATTTAGAGTGTCTGCTTTTATAAATAAATATATAAAAACTACCCACAAGTAATTCTTCAAATTACAAGAAC